GGAGAACATTTGTGGGCCAAATCTAGATATGCAGATAGCACCGCTCTTTAAGTGCTTCATCCTGGATGGGCCCCGTCAAAGTAAATGGCATGGCCCAGTTGTGGTGACTGCGTGGTACCAGTTTTCAGTGACTCTGAAAAGGTAGGAGAGGAGAGAGGGAGCCAACCTGGCAGAAAAAAGCTTGAAAGGTGCTAACATCCTAACCTTGGCCTCTGTGGTCAGAGCAGCATCCACGTAGAGTTGTGTCCTGAGGCAATACGCAGGCGGCTTCAGCAAAGCCTAGGCAAAAGGAAATTAAAAGAGCTTTTTCAGGCCACCTGTGGGCTTCCATGCGCCCTGGCTCATTGGGAGCCTGTCCTGAAGTAGGAAAAAACAGATTGTGGTGTTTACTGCTTATCTGCCACCTTCCTGAGATCGCTGGAACGTTTCCTTCCCCGTTACAAAAAGTCTGTGAAATGAAGGGGAGAATTCTTTCCCACAGTGGGCATGCTGACAGCCTTTCTGCTCAAGGCTGCCACGGCATTGGGATGTCGTCACAATGGACCCTTGAAATGTATTCCCTCTGGCTTTCAGCATATTGCCACGTAGATAGGGACTTAGCCAAGGTGCAGTGTGGTATGTATAGACCATAGGTTCTCAAACTTGTTTGGGGCCACGACCCTCTTTTCAGAATTAAAATTACTCAGCATGCCCCTGGCAATGAAACACTTTTGTATAGAGCTCCTAAACCAGGATGAAGTGTAAGTTTCTGCTTGGGCAGCCTCCCCTCCATGCTCCATCCTTTTCGAGCCCTGCAGGAGGCAGTGTTTGCCCACGTTGGGAAACACTGATCCAGCTGGAAAGAGAGACAGCTTTGGGACTACCCCAATTTGGGCTTAGCCCTGCCTCCCGTACATCCTCATGTGTACACATTTGAGCATATTAGTTGATTCGGGAAGCCTGTGTTTTCTCATCGTGAAAATTATAATAAAACCCACCTTCAAACGGTGAGGGAAAACAAGAAATGCCTGCGATGGTGTGGACACTCAGAGAGAAACTCATTTTCTTTCCCCTTTGTGTCCTCCATCCTTCTTGGTAGGAGAGTTGGGATGAAAATAGGACAAAAGTAATTATCCTGTTTCTGAAGCCATTCCTTCCCCAGAGCCCCAGCATCTTACACGGACTGCGTTTAGATGAAAGACTCAAAA